TATAATATTCACTTGGCTACAACTAAGAAGAAGTTAAGGAATTCAGCAAAATGTTAATGCTCCCAGAAATTCAATTCAGAAAAAACTGTTCTGTTCTAGTAGCCTTCATTAATAGAATCCCAAATTATTATCACTATTTTCCAGATTTTGAATCTCAGGTCAGGTATGTTCTTCAGCATGCACTTACACAAGATGGCTTTAAAACAAACTTTTGTTTTAGAAACAAACATTTCCTTAGAATAGAAAAACAATACTGTTGTATACATAAAACTTAAAAACGAAGCTTTCATTATGCTATATTTTATAGAAACATTTTGATAACTATGAATAAAGGTCAAACATTTGTCAAATTGCTTTTAGCTAGTACAAATAGCTATTCATGTAAAGAACATTCTGTACTTCCCTTTCTTCAAAAGAAGTAGAATAAGTATTTCAATTCCCATAAAAATTTGCATACATGAAATGGCAATAAGGTAAGTTGTAGTATCTCTGAAATAAACAGACCATGACTGAAGGATTGCTTTTACAGTAAGTGAAAATAATATAGCCATTGTATGAAAATGAGTAATACACACCTTTAGAAAAAAATACAGTGAATTATCTGTATAGCTTCAAAGTAGATTCCAAATTTAATTTTTCACAATCTAGCATGTCATTTTATATAATTCAGAAAATCCCTTAGAACAATATGTGCTTATATATACGAAGCTATGTCTAACTACATCTTAGAATGAATGTGTCAGGTGACAAAGAGCACCTGCTGTGATAAGACCATCCTGACAGAGAGATACAAAAACACAAGTGTATAAAATCAGGTTACTTGAAATCTATGTTGCTCTAAACTAAGGTATTATGAAAATTTCGCAGTCTTCTTCATTTCCACCCATGTCCTGCCCTTCCACAGCCTCCTCAAATTTATGTTTAATGCAGCTGTATTACTTTTTCTAATGATTTTCTTTCTGTCAAAGAGCAAAGCACACCAATACGCTCACACACTATAATACAGCTCCGTGGACTTTTTTGTTGTTGCTAATAAAATGTACAAGTAAATATTTTTTATGGGGGAAAATTACTAAATAAATTTTCCAAATCAGTCACTGATTGAATGATTCACACACAAAAAAATAATCTGACATATGTTAACTTTTAAAAGTATGGTAACAAAACTCATTTTCAAGGGGCATGTTAATTGGTATCTATTCCTTCTGATGCAAAGAAATCCCATCCGTTCCTTCTTCCTCAGTTTAAAACAATCACATCCATCTCTTGATCACTGTTTAAGACCAATATCACTTCATAATTGACCGTGGATTCCTTGGTTTTTGTTATAGCTTCCAAACAGAAGTTTCAAAACAACTCTGACTAGTAAACACATCACTGTACTTTAAACAGTGATGTTTTCTATCCCATACTTCAGGAAGGTTAAAACACACGCACACACAGGCAAGGATCATCCCTGAAGACAACAGATTATAAGTGAGTTTATTAACTCTTTAGGTAGATTAGGCAACACTTGTTTTTAAACTAAAAATCAAAAGAAGTCTCTCTTTTCTTTTAAATGGCTCACACTACCATGCTACCAACAGATATGTAAGGGAGAAAAAAGAGGCTATGCGTTCTGAACTGTGCTTATCTAAAATCTGCAACTAGTCACTTTACATTTTAGGAGATGCCCCTTTTTGAGATAATCAAGATACATTACAATAGGGAATTTAGATTTAATTATCAAATTTTAATACCATGTTATATAGGTCAAGTGAGTATGTATGTCCTTCTCTGGAAACAAAGAGATTCAGAGTAATAGGATTTCAGATTTCATAGTAGTAACCACAAGATATGTTTTGAGAATGTCATTTACTGTAACACAAATCAATATTAAATGCTTTATGCAGGAAGCACACTTTCAGAAAATGGGCCCTAAAGCTTTCTGGGATCCGACCCTAATTACCAGAGCAAGCTCTTGCCGTTTGTCTCTCTCTTCAATTATTTACGGGGCAAAAAGAGCCAAATGGCATTGCATTAGCTATATTAAATGCTATGTACTTGGGTTCTAACTTACTAATGGTACATAAAAATTACTAAGGTGAATGTGCCTGTAGAAACATGGCCTTTTTTCTTCACCTGAGTATATGTATTTATTATTGATATAGTTAAGTGTTGAATAGGCTGTCCTTTGGCCACCCAATGCTGCATAATTTAAACAAGTGCATTAAACATATATGCTATCTAAAAGGTAGTGCATTGATTACGTCTCAAAATTTCTTTGAACAACTTATATTTACAATGTAGCTCGCAAAAAAGCAGGCATCTCCCTCCAGTCCCTGAAAACAAATTTATGGGGACCACACAGAAATGAATAATAGATTTCCTTGCTACTACCATCTTGCTGCTTTCAGACGACCCAAAGTAAAAGAAGAATTGGGGGGCGGGGGGGAGAATGAGGCCCTTGAGGGCTAAGAAATGTCTGATCTCTATGCTGACTCGTGTTCTTTAGGACAAATACTGTGTTTGTACGTACAGAACATGGACCACACGCGCTGTAAGAAAGAAAAGCTTATCAAGGATGAATCAGAGATTCTTTGCACCAGGCCAGAAATGCCCTCTGCCAGCAAGCAGGGCATGATTACAACCTCCCAAAGAAAGTTCAGACACTGCACCCATACTTGATTCTTTTGTGATCTAGAAGGGTGCCTGGAGTCACGACAGGAGATGCTGACTGCTGAAGAGGGCTGGTGCATCCAACTTCCACCTTCCCAAACTGTGGAAGAAGCTTCCAAAGCAGTGAAACCCTCACTCTTCATGGACCCAGTGTATTTTTTAATGAGTTCAGGCGGCATCCAATTCTTGTAAAAATAAGACAGGCCCACTAACCAAGTACCCAGGGTCCCTAGAAAGCCAGTCGCAATTTGCGAGGTTACAGGTCATCATCCGTGTTACCCAAGAGCATGCCAAGGCCACTTCTGAGAAAGCACCATTGGAAATCGATCTGTGGTAAACACGTAAGGTAGTATTTTTCTAAGCTAAATACAAAGTCACTTCTTTCTCTGCACTGAAATCTGCCCATTGTCCCTCCTAAGCAAAAGCTACAGGGAAGATTAAAAGGGACATCAATGAACGCTGAGTGAACTTTGGCCACTTTCCTACCCAAAACACCAGCGTAAAAGTAGAAATCAGTAACCAGGTGAAGTGCCACACCGCACAAAGATCAAGGCGAGGGGCGGGCGCGCGGGGCTGGAGGCGGGGAGGGAAACGTCCC